GTTAGGATTTGGGGGTTTTTCGAATTAAAGGCTTCTAGAGCTTTAGGGTTTCGAATCGTCCTGAATCTGGCCGAATTGGTTAGTCTGAGTCACAAACACGAGTCAGGGGAGAAATCTTGTTTGATAAAGCTTAAGGGTATCTCAGCTGGAAAACCAGTAACCACTTAAAAATTGCCTGGCAACCTCTGGTATAACAATGCCACGTACTCCTTAGACTGTCCTGTCCTGTTATTACAGTACAATGAGCACTACTCGTATGGAGATCTCCCAATACAATGGGAAGATCGATTTCAACACATGGAAAAAGAAGATGAAGGCCCTTCTTTCACATAATAAGGTTAGGATTGCTCTGGAAAAAGACACCACCAAGTGGTCTAAAGAGAAACTGAAAAAGAAGGCTGAAGTTGATGAGAAAGCCCATAATCTAATCATAATGAATCTGTCCGATGTAGTCCTATGAAAGGTAGAGGGCGTGGAAACACCACTCACACTCTAGGGTAAACTCAAACCCCTTTATTCCTTACAGTCTGCTCCTAACTTAGCATTCCTTAAAGGAGTGTTATTCTCTTATAAAATGGATGTTACTAAGTCTGTAGAAGAAAACCTTGATGAGTTTCTTAAGATGACATTAGTGTTGAAAGGAACAGATCAGGAGTTAGGTGATTCTAGTTTAGCGATGATACTGTTAAATTCATTGCCTGATGAGTATTTGGTGGTTAAGAATGCTTTACAATACACTAGGACAGTTCCCAGTGTTGACTTGATTATAGCTGGCCTGAAATCTAGGGAACTGGAGTTGAAAATCCAGAAAAGGAATGGGAATAACTTGTTTGTCAAGAGTAGGACAGATCATGGACAACTAGGAAGAGATAGTAACAAGAAGTCCCAGCATCACATGAACTCTAAGACTAAGAAAAAAGGGAAGAATAACAAGTCTAAGCGAGAAACTAGGAAGTGTTTTCATTGTAATAAACCAGGTCACCTTAAGAAGAACTGCTATGATTGGATAAAGAAACAAAAACAGCACAATACATAGAGTAATTTAGCTAGCACCAGCACTGGCATTGAAATTTCAGAAGCCCTCACTATCTCAAACCAAGCTAGCAGTAAGGAATGGGTTCTAGATTCGGGATGTACCTTTCATATGAGCCCAAACATCCAATGCTTCCAGAACTTTAGGAAAGGAGAGGTAGAAACTGTTTTCATGGGTAATAATCACTCTTGCAAGGTTCAAGGTATAGGAAACATAACCATTAGGTTAAATAATGGTAAAGTCATAATGTTAACCAGAGTTAGATATATACCTGACCTTAAAAGAAACCTGATTTCCTTGGGAACTTTGGATGAAGCTGGATGTAGTTATAAGGTAGAAAAAGGATCCATAGTTGTGTATAAGAATAATGAAATTTTGCTTGAAGGGGTCAAACAAAATGGGCTGTACATTCTGTGTAGTCAACATTATGCATTTACTGTAAATCCTGCTCTATCATCTACTAATCTGACTGCTGTAGAGAAATGGCATTTGAGACTTGGTCACATAGGCCAAAAAGGTATGACAGTGTTAAGCCAACAAGGCTATTTTGGTAAGGAATCCATATCTGAATTAACTTTCTATGAAGTTTGTGTGTTGGGAAAACAGCACAGAATAAGTTTCCAAAAGGGAACTCATCTGGCTAAAAAAGGGTTGGATTATGTGCATGCAAACCTTTGGGGTCCAGAAAGGGTTAGGACACATGGAGGGAATTGCTATTTCCTCTCCATTGTGGGTGATTATAGTAGGAAGATATGGGTGTACCTTCTTAGGTTCAAGGATGAAGCATTGACCAAGTTTAAAGGCTGGAAAAACCTAGTTGAAAACCACGTTAATAGGAAGGTGAAAACCTTTAGGACAGACAATGGCCTAGAATTCTGTAACATGGAGTTTGACTCTTACTGTGTAGAAGAGGGAATTTTGAGGCATAGAACAGTTAAGGGAACCCCTCAGTAGAATGGGGTTGTTGAGAGAATGAATAGAACCCTTCTAGAGAGGGTTAGATGTCTCTTATTCACAGCTGGTCTACCAAAAATCTTTTGGGGGGAAGCACTAGATATAGCAGCCTATCTTATAAATAGAAGCCCTTCTAGCTTAATAGACTTTAAGTGCCTTGAAGAAAAGTGGTCTGCGAGGAGACCATCTCTTGAACACCTAAGAGTCTTTGGATGTGCTGCATATGCACATACCAGAGATGGAAAGTTAGAGCCAAGATCCCTTAAGTGTGTTCTTTTAGGATACCAAGAGGGAACTAAGGGTTTAGGGTTTAGGGGCTTTGGGAAAGGGTTGCCCCAGGGGTTAGGGTAATTGTTAGTAGGGATGTGATTTTCAATGAAACTGTCTTTCCCGCAAATCTGGTACTAACAGTGTAGGTAGCTAACAAGAAGATTCTGAAACTTCTGGACAAACTGGGACAACTCAGTTTGAGGTGGAGCCTGAAAATAATCCGGATCATTACATCCAAATAGATGAGATTGATCCACTTGAAGATTAGCCACAGCAAACTCAAGAGCAGGAGGATGAAGATCACCCTCCTGACAGTGCTGAAGTGGATCAGCATGGTAATCTGGCCCAATATCAGTTAGCCAGAGACAGAGTCAGGAGGGAGATTAGACCTCCTGCAAGGTACAACTATGTTGACCTAATCTATACAGCACTCCTGGCTGGTTCAGAGGTACATCGATCAGAACCTAACACTTATGAGGAGGCAATGAGTTCAAGGGACAGAAAAGAATGGGTGGCTGCTATGGAAGAAGAGATGGAGTCATTGCACTCAAACAAAACCTGGACACTAGTTTCAAAGCCTAAGAATCAGAAGTTGGTGGAATGCAGATGGTTCTACAAACTGAAAGAAGGGATAAATGAATCTGATCCGCCAAGATTCAAAGCAAGGTTAGTGGCTAAGGGCTACACTTAGAGGGCAGGTATTGATTTCACTGAGATATTTTCTCCAGTAGTTAAATTTAAAACTATTAGAATCATGCTAGCAATTGTTGTTCAATATGACTTAGAGATAGAACAATTGGATGTTAAAACTGCCTTCTTGCATGGTGAGTTGGATGAGAAAATATTCATGAGTCAACCCTTAGGTTTTAAGAATAACAAACTGCCTGATTATGTATGCTTACTGAATAAATCTCTGTATGGACTTAAACAGTCCCCTAGACAATGGTACAAGAGGTTTAATGCATTCATTATAGGAAATGGATTCACTAGAAGTATGTATGATAATTGTTTCTATTTTGCCTGTATGAATAACATGCCTATCTATCTTTTGTTATATGTAGATGACATGTTAATAATCAGTAAGTCCATGTCTCAAATTAATACTTTAAAGGCCAAATTAAATACTGAATTTGATATGAAGGACTTAGGGAAGGCAAAGAAAATACTAGGAATGATGATTGATAGAGATAGAAGTGCAAATACCCTTAAACTCCATCAATCCTCATACTTACAGAAACTGGTTTCAAAATTTGGTATGAATGAATCCAAAGCAGTGACAATGCCCTTAGCAAACCATTTTATACTTAGTAAGTCACAATCCTCAAAAACAGATTCGGATAGGCTGAAAATGGAGAATGTCCCTTATTCTAATGCCATAGGTTCTGTAATGTATTCCATGATATCCACCAGACCCGATTTAGCATATGCAATATCTCTATTAAGCAGGTTCATGTCAAATCCTGGAAATGAATATTGGAATGCTTTAAAATGGTTGATGAGATACATTAATGGCACTGTTCAGATTGGTTTAATTTTCTGTAAAAGATATGCATCACTTGATCTAGTTGTGTATGTAGATGCAGATTTTGTAGGTGATCGAGACTCCAGGAAGTCCACAACTGCTTATTACTTTACACTGGGAGGCAACTATGTTAGCTGGAAAGCATAGTTGCAACCACTGGTTGCACTTTCCACTACTGAAGCAGAGTACGTGGCAATTTCATATGCATTCAAGGAAGCAACATGGTTGCAAGGAATTCTGAAAGAAGCTGATCCGTTGAATGGCACAGCAACAGTTTACTCCGATAGTCAAAGTGCCATCCACCTGAGTAAGAACCCGGTGTATCACGAACGAACAAAACATGTGGATGTCAGGCATCACTTCGTCAGAAACCTGATTGCAAAGGGAGAAATTAATCTTTTGAAGGTGCCTACTGAAGAGAATCCAACAGACATGGGAACCAAAGTAGTGGCCACAGGCAAGTTCAAGCACTGCTTGAACTTGCTTCACATCAGATAAACACTTTCTTTTAGAGCTGAGAAGAAATATGGGATAGCTTACTACACTAAAAAGAAGTCTAGCAATGGAAAAGAAGAAAGGGAAATAAATGAAAGGAAGAAAGTTGGCTTCAAGGTGGAGACTGAAAATATTTTGAAGCCAAAATGGGGTCGTTTCATTTAAGTTAATTGAAGGAATCCTAGCCGTCAGATCAAGACAGATCTAAGGGTTGACATTTGCTGTTATGGACATATATAAAAGAAGCAACAGTGTTGTGAACAAGGCATTATTCTAATCTCTTACAAGTTAGGGTTTGTGAGAGGAAAATTAGGGAGCAACTAGGGTTGGGTATTTGCTGAGGCTTTCTGGGAATAATCCTGGTAGATTAGAGAGAGGGTTGCGTTTCCTTCTTGAGGCTAGTTTAGTCCTCAGTTTCTTGCAGATTGTAGAGAGTTTCTTGAGCGAATAGGCCTAGGTTGAGGGTTGATCTGTTCTGGCAAAGTTGTATGCTTTTCTTCTTGTAATTGTTGGATAATCTTTTAGTGCTGTGAGTATCCGTATTTCGGAGCTCAACGTGGATATAGTCTAGCTAAAGATTGGATAGACGAACCACGGTAAATTCGTGCCTTGATTTTGTGTGTGTGTGTTTTGATCTTGAATCTTGGTTTTGTTTGTTTGTGTTGCGAATTGATTAATTAGGCTTGGGTTATAACAGTGGCCATGGAAGATAAATTATTTGATACAATGGTTATGGTGGATGTAGCACAGTCTTTGAACGTCGAAACAATTCAAGAAGACATTGCCAAGAAACTGGGATGGCAATTAACGGAGACAGACGTGAATGAAAGGGCTGCTAGATTGCTTGATAGTTTGAAGAGACAGACGAGAAGAGTTCTGGTTATATTGGATCATGTTTGGGAAACAATTAACTTGAAGGTCATTGGCATTCCTTTCGGTTTTGAAGAGAAGTTCGATGATGATCAAAAGCGATTGAAAATATTACTTATTTCTAGAAGTAAAAAAGTGTTGGGAAATTACACAGATACTGAAAACAATTTCTCTGTTGAAGCTTTGAGTCACCAAGAAGCAAGGAATTTATTTGACTCGATAGTGGGCGACTTAACATTGCCAGATTTGGCAGTTGAGGTAGTTAAACGATGTGCAGGTTTACCACTTACAGTTAAAGCAATTGGAAATGCACTCAAACATAATAGGAGCCTTTCTTTCTGCCAAAAGATTTTGGAAGATTTAAAGAATTTCAAAGGAGTGGATCGGATTTTGAAGTTGAGTTATGAATTTTTGGAAAGTGAGGATGTGAAATCCTTGTTTCTGCTTTGTGCTGTATGTACTAGTGCAGGTGATAAAATCTCAACAAATTACTTGTTGAAAATTGGATTGGGGATGGGTTTGTTTAGAGATGTATATACATTGAAAAGAGCTTCCTGTTTGTTGTTAGATAGTGGAGTTGATGACAAATTCGTTAAAATGAGCCACACGATGCATAGTGTAGCTGTGTCGATTGCTGAGGATGGCGGACAGGTTTATGTTAGTATTCCAGAAGGAGCTAACTCGAGAGAAGTACTGGAAAGTACAATGTCCAAAGAAGATTTAACCCATTTGTCTGTAATTAATGGGGATATTAATGAGCTTCCTGAAAGGTTGGACTGTCCAAACCTGAGGCTAGTTTTGCTGTTAAGGAAAGATCAGGATCAGGATCAAGATCGTTCTTTAGAAATTCCGAACAACTTCTTTCAAGGGGTAAAAGAATTACAAGTTCTATATCTGGGTGGCATCAACATACCATCAGAATCTTCTCTTCTTTCTTGCCTAAAGAAACTCCGGACATTGTGTTTGAACAGATGCTCGCTAACCGATATAGGAATAATCAGAAAGCTAAAGGAATTGATGAGTCTGAAGTTTTCGTTTTGTGATTTTGAAGTGTTACCTACAGAAATTGGAGATTTGACCAAGTTAAAGTCGCTGGATTTGAGTAATTGTCCAAAATTCCAACAAATCACACCAAATGTCATATCAAGGTTGACCCGATTGGAAGAATTATATATGGCTAATAGTTATAAATGGCGGAGTAAAGCTATTCTTGCTGAGTTGAAGTAATTGGCTCACCTGAACTCTTTATACATACATATCCCGAATGCCATGATTATGCCACGGAATTTGTTCAACCCTGAAAAGCTGGAAAGGTATAAAATACTTATTGGAGAAAAATGGGGATGGTATGGTAAATATACAACGTTAAGAACATTGAAACTCAACAATGGTCGCAGTTTCAGGAGTTCTGAGTTTGACATTTTGTTTGAGAAAGTTGAAGATCTCTACTTAGATCAACTGAGTGGCGTTGAAGATGTGGTTGAAGCTCTCAACTCAGAGAAAGGTTTCCCAGAATTAAAGCATCTTTGTGTTCAGAAAAGTTGGGGGGATCTTTTATATATTTTTAACTCAGAGACGGCTCATTGTCACACTGCCTTTCCTGTGTTAGAGTCGTTGTATCTCCATAAATTGAAGAAGTTGAAGAAGATATGTGAAGGTCGACTCTACGCAGAATCTTTTACCAATTTAAGGACCATAATAATTAGACAATGTGATGAGTTGGAGCATGTCTTCTCAATCTCCATGGCAAGAAACCTTTCACATCTCGAAGAAGTGGAAGTGACTAATTGCAAGAACCTAAAAGAGATTTTTGGTGATGAAGAAATTGAAGAATCTATAGACCATGCTGATCAAAAGGTATGGTTTTTCTGTTTTATTTATTTATTTATTAGTATTTTTTCCAGGTATTTTAATACATTTCTAAGTTTGTTTACAGAACAAGAATTCTGTCTGCAGGTTGTGTTCCCAAAACTTTTAAGGTTGACTGTGAAGGATTGTCATGCTTTGAAATTTATGTTTCAATCTTCTGTGGTTGAATTCCCATCCTTGAATGCAATTCAAATTGAGAGTTGTCAGAGTTTGAAGACATTCTTCTCCAAGAAAGAACATGAAGAAATGAACTTAGAGAATGAAACTACTGTTATACATCCTTTCTTTGATGAAAAGGTATTTTTTTTTTCTTTCCAGAAGCTCACCTTAACACAATACATGGACATCTTATTCATCTTCTGCTTCGTGTTATACAGGTTCATTGTCCAAGCTTGGAGAAGATGATACTCTCACACTTGGATAACATCTAGTTGATATGGCACAATAAACTCCAAGCAGATTCTTTCTGCAAACTAAAGGTTTTGAGAGTTGAATTTTGTGGAAAATTAACCAGTTTTGTTCCTCCTGACAGACTCGGAAGATTATCAAAGAATCCGCAAAGACTTCACACATTTCAAAATCTAGAAATTGTAAGGGTTACAGAATGTTGGAGTATGAAAAACCTCTTTCCAGTCTCTATAGCTTTAGGTCTGCGGCAACTTAAAGAGCTAGAGATAAACTCTTGTGGGTTGGAGGAAATTGTTGCCAACGAGGACGTAAAAGTGGCGGCTGTGTTTAAGTTTCATCAACTAGATTTCTTGCAACTTGTTGATTTACCAGAACTCAAAAGTTTCTACCCCAGGTCGCACACAACAGAGTTGCCATTGCTAAAAAGCTTGGTGGTTTATGTTGAGTTTGTTAAGAAGCAAGTTGATAGAGGAGAAGCTAAGCTGTGGAAGTTCGTTATGCTGAGCTGTGGAAGTTCGTTATGCTGAGCTGTGGAAGTTAGTTATGCTGAGTGTTGAGCTGGAAAGTTATAGTTAGAGTTTGTTAGCTTTCAGTTAGAGTTAGTTAAACAGTTATTTACAAGTTGTATATATATGTACATTGATGTAAACGTTAATGTTAATAAGAATAGAGCATTACTTTTCCTTTAATTTGTTTTAGTTCTTCTAAATACATTTTCTTAACATGGTATCAGAGCCTTGATCTAAGGCCTGAAATCCTTATTCAATCATCAAATTTTTTCACCTGATCTGGTGCTGATCTGCTATTCAAATATCAGCTCTATTTTGTCAAATCTTTCAATTTTTTAATTTGCTTTTCCTCACTCAAACTCTTGAGCAATCTTGGTTTTACAAAACCATCAATGGCAACTGAAGGAAATGGCAGCATCTCGACTGGAACTGGATCTCAGAATAATCAAAGTTCATCAACAGTGGACTTCAATCATCCCTTGTACTTGCATCCCTCGGACACTCTAGGTTCTATCTTAGTCTCTTTTCAACTCATTGGAATAGAAAATTACTCACTATGGAGTCGATCAATGAAAATTGCATTGCTTACTAAGAACAAAATAGGTTTTATTGATGGAACTTGTAAAAGAGATACAAATTCACTTAGCTTGCAACAGCAGTGGGATAGATGTAATGCCATTATGCTCTCTTGGATTATGAACTCTGTAAGTAAAGAATTGCTGAGTGGTATAATCTATGCTTCTAATTCACATCTGGTATGGCAAGGTTTAAAGGAGAGATTTGACAAAATCAATGGTTCAAGAATCTTTCAACTGCATCGAGACATTGTTACTTTAACACAAGGAACCTCAACTATATCCACTTATTATACTAAACTCAAGCTTTTATGTGATGAATATGGATCTATCATACAGCTACCTACATGTGAATGTGAGATGTCAAAAACGTATGTAGAACATATATAGAATCAAAAACTTCTGCAGTTTCTCATGGGACTGAATGAGACATATGTGCAAGCAAGAGGACAGAACTTAATGATGAATCCACTGCCTAGTATCAACCAAGCCTATTCCATGCTTGTGACAGAAGAGAGTCAAAGGAGCATAATAGGATCCACCACATCAAAGTCTTCCCTGGAATCCACTGTCCTATACTCATCATCATCGTCACAACAACAATCTAAGGGAAAAAAAAAAATGGAATATTACCTGTGAGCACTGCAATGTGAAAGGCCATAAGAAGGAAAATTGTTATAGGCTCATTGGCTATCCTCCTGATTTTAAGTTTACCAAAAAGAAATTTACAGGAACTCAATCTTCAGTTAATACTGTTTCAGATCCATCTACTAATCATGCTGAGCCCAACAATTCAGGATCTGCTGCTGCGGTATTCTCTAAGGAACAATATGAAGAGATCCTCAAACTCTTGAACAAGGATTCAGCTACTCCTACAGCAGAAGATATGGTAAACATGGTAGGTATAAAGTGTTTTTTATCCTCATTAGGTAAAAAACAATCCTGGATTCTAGACACAAGAGCTAGTCATCATATGTCCCCTTGTATTGATCTATTATCAGATTTAGCATCTTCACCTGTTTCTACATCAGTATGATTGCCTAATGGTCATGTGTCTAAAGTTTCTCATATTGGATCACATTATCTTGCTTCTGACCAGAAACTCACCAATGTTCTCTACATTCCAAATTTCAAATTCAACTTGATTTCAGTTGCAAAGATGACAAGAGATTTGTCTTGTTACATCTCTTTTTTTCCTGACTTTTGTATACTTTAGGACCTCTTCAGTGGGAAGGTAAAAGGGATTGGTAGAGAAGCTGAAGGTTTATATTTTTTGTTGCCTTTCAAACACCATGCAACACCAGCTGTGCCTCCACATCCATCTGCTGTCTCCAAGGTTTTCAATATTTCTGTAGTGCCCGAAGATCTTCCTACTTTACATAATAATTGTTGTTTATCTTCTATTGAATTGTGGCACAAAAGGCTTGGTCATGTGCCTATTCTCAAACTGAAATAGTTCCCTTCAATAAAGTTTACTCAAGATGATGTAAAGTGTGTAGCAGATTGCAGAATATGCCCCTTAGCTAAACAAGTCAGATTGCCATTTACTTCAAGTCATAATAGAGCATCTCATCCTTTTCATGTATTGCATATGGATGTTTGGGGCCCTTATGCTCATCCCACCGTTGACCATCATAGGTTCTTTCTCACTATAGTAGATGATCATACAAGGATCACTTGGATTTTCTTAATGAAACATAAGTCAGAAACCATACTTCATCTTCGAAAATATTTTTTGCTGGTCCAGAATCATTTTGTTGCTTCTATCAAATTCATTCGCTCAGATAATGGGGGAGAATTTTTTAACACTGCTTGTAATGAGTTGTTCACATCCTTGGGCATCATCCATCAAAGTTCTTGCATCTACACCCCTCAACAGAATAGGATGGCAGAACGCAAACACAGGCACCTGTTGGATGCGGCTAGATCTTTGAAAATCCAAGCTGGAATTCCACTGCAATACTGGGGTGAATGCATTCTCACTACATGTTATTTGGTGAACAGATTATCATCTCCTGTTTTAGGCAACAAGTCTCCCTATGAAATGTTGCATGGAACACCACCGTCAATTGATCATCTTAGGGTGTTTGGCTGTCTCAGTTATGCCACTCATCTTTCCTCAATAGATAAATTTGCCAAGAAAGCTACTCCATCAATTTTCATGGGATACTCAACAACCCAAAAGGGATATAGGCTACTGAATTTGGAAACTCGCATGTTTTTTGTAAGTAGAGATGTGAAGTTTGTGGAGCATGTTTTTCCATTCCTTTCTCAGTCCTCTTCAGCCGCTTTGCCTCCTTATCATTCTCCTTCACCTGTACATCTTGAGGACTTTGAGTTGTCTCACCAACCTTTACCGTTTGATGCACCACAACAGGTTTTTTCACATAACAATTCACTAGAGCCACTTAATTCATCAGACTCTTCCACACATGATACTTCTCCTGCTGTATCATCACCTCCAGTCCTCCGAAGATCCTCTAGGACTATTAAACCACCTATCTGGCTCATTGATTATATCTCTCTTACTGCTCATTATGCAATCACCAACTATGTTTCTTACAAGCACCTTTAACCTTCCTATCAATGCTTTCTCACTGCTATCTCTCGTATCCATGAACCTGCTATGTATGAAGAGGTTGTTCGAGATCCCAATTGGGTGGCTGCTATGCAGACAGAAATTGCTGCCTTAGAGGCTAACCAAACTTGGACCTTGGTTCCTCTTCCACCAGGCAAATCTGCCATAGGATGTAAATGGGTTTTTAAAGCTAACTACCACTCAGATGGCAGCCTTGAGAGATACAAGGCACGTCTTGTAGCCAAAGGCTACAACCAACAGGAAGGCATTGACTATACTGATACATTC